AAACCAAAAATAATTAACTAAATGTGAATAGACTAAAAAACACTAAATCAAAGTGAGACTAGATAAAAACACACAACTGAACAGGTGGCCAACAGACACACGAAAAGATGCTCAACATCAATCATCATCAGGGAAATGCAAATCAAAACTACAGCGAGGTATCACCTCACACCCATGAGAATGGCTAAAATCAAAAAGACAAGAAAAAAGTGTTGGCGAGGATGTTGAGAAAAAGGAACCCCCATGCACTCACTGTTGGTAGTAAATTGGTACAGCCACTGTGGAAAACACTATGGAGGTTGCTCAAAAAAATTAAAAATAGGAATACCAGATGATCCAATAATTCCACTATTGGGCATTTACCCAAGGAAAATGAAAACACTAACTCGAAAAGATATACCCTTATGTTTACTGCAGCATTCTTTTTTTTTTTTTTTTTTTTTTCAAGTGAAGCAAATTCGGTTTTTATTCTTCCATACGATACATGGATACACGCATAAATTTTCCTTAAAGAGCTTGCAACCCTGAGGCAATGTCCTTGGGTATATAAAGTATAGAGCAATAGCAAATGAGATCTGAGCTCCAGGAATGAAATCGGACTTCAAGAACATAATTGACTATGAATGCACCTGCACACATACCAATAGAATCTACGCCTCATCTAAGCCTCTTCATCCAATTATCCCGACTGCCCTGCGGTCTGCACATCGGACAGCCTGACTCTCTCCAGATTTTACATCATATCCAGCACCTTCCTTTCCAACTGGAATTTAATAAATTAGCATGGAATTTACATATAGGGATTTCTGTCTGGTGAGTGCATTGCCAGAGAGCACGCCTGGTTTTTGACTACAGCATCTGCCCACGTAGAAACTCTGGCCCCCAAAGGGGATTGGATGCCATCTGACTGTTGTAACCTTGGGGGGGGGGGAGATGTCCTAGAGCGTCCCCTGGGATCTACCACAGAGGGGAGGTTTTTCCTCTAATTTCAGGATTATACCAAGGTATGGCTGAGCTGAGGAGGTGGAAGGTGTTGGCTTCTGCATTCAAGAACCAGTGAATCTGATGTCCTCAGTTTTCAGGGTGCACAACCCATCCACTGTGAAGATGGGGCAGCAGATGGGGTGACTGGGGGCAGGGGCAGGGAGGCCTGGGTGTAAGGAGACCATTGTGCTTGTTATTCATCAAACTCATGGATGGTCAAAGGTCTTTCAGTAAATGGTGAAAACCTTTTTTGGATTATTTGGTTTTCCCAAGCTTTATAAACTACGGTGAGGGCAAATGCTTATGAGAAACTAAAAGTGAGCTTATTATATTATTTATATATTATCATCTCCCCTCTGAGGATAGCACAGAAGCGTAAATTAAAAAGCAGACAAATACCTATAAGGTAACTCGAGCTAGAGAGTGACTTTTGCCTTAAAACAATCATCAGGCCTGAAAAGCAAATCTTGCAAGCAAAATCTAACTTTGTCTGGCCCACTGATACACAATGATCCTGAGTCCCTCCTTGATTTACAAAGTCTGTTTTTTGAGGAATATCCTCCATTAATATTCATTTTGTGTCGTAATTATTACAAGGGGTAACCAGTGCAGCTTTATCCTCCTTTTAGGCAGCGCCTCTCTCCTGGTCCTACTGGCTGTCTGCTCACTTCACTTATCAGAACTCCTGCGTGGCCGGCGGAAGCTGGACACGTTTTCATTCAGTGCATAGATCCTTCGGGAGAACTCTTCAAATTCTCCCAGAACTTGCTCATCACACTCCACTGCCACGGCACTATCCACCGGGATGCAGTTAAAGGCTTCCAGCTGATCGCCTGAGGTGAAACCTGTGGCTTCCATGCCGATGATCTCTTCCGCTTGCTCCACAGTACAGCAGAGCTCGGGCTCTGAGACTGGGCGGAAGTCCCCCGGGACGCGGACGCCGGGGGAGCCAGCCTGCTCGCTGGGCAGCAGAGTGCCGTTGACGGTGGCTGCATGCCCAGAGAGGGCTTCTTCTTGTTCCTGGCTAGTGTTCACACTCACATGACCTCCATTTAATCTGTCACCCAGATCAACTCCTTTTTTCTTGTTTTCTTTGGAGAAGTCCAAGGAGGTATCCAAGGAGGAGGACAGAGATGTTGTCTTTCTCTCGGACTCTCCTATGGAAGGGATGGCGGGAACAGGCTGGGCGAGCGCTGAGTTGTAACTGGGAGGAGGGGTTTTGTACTGGAGTCTCTCATTCTCTGAGCTGGCCCGTTTTCGGTGTCCTTTGTCTGGGGACGGGATCCCCCCAGAGAAGCCTACATCTGCGCCTCCAAATACGGAGCTTTGTCTCTTTGGAACAGGGATTGCACTGGAGGTGTGATGTCTGTCGCACCTGACCATTAGTCCATGTTCCATGAAGTTTTTCAGGTTAGGGAGGGTTTGCCTCAAGTCTGGAGTCCCTAGTCCATGTTGATATCTTAGCTGTGCTATATTTTTGTTCAGAAGATAGACACCATAATCGAATTGTAACTTCTCCCCTCCTTTTGGATATAATGGAAACTCTCTCTCCTTTTCAGTCAGCTTATCATTGATATTATCTTTGATTGTTGATCTAGATCCCTTATGAATTATAGGATATCTCAGGGGCACTTGTAAGAAAAAGGAAATCATGGAGACCAAATGTGCTGTGTAACCAAGGGCAACAGCAATGCTTCCATCATCTTTTGCTTGGAAGTCCTCAGAATTGGGCAACTTGACACCACATACAAAGTAATCCTTATGCTCATTCAAATCAATAGGGTAAATGTAGGAAAGCTCAGATAGTAATTGCCTGCAACGAATTGTCAACTGAGCATTAGTCTTCAGAAAGAGTTCTCTTTTCGCAGTACACTCCTTCCTCAATTCATTCAGGGATTCCTTCTGGAGTTGAAGCTTGAGGTGCTCAGTTGAAAATGCACTCCCTTTATCCTGTAATGCAATTTGTTGCTTATGCAGTAATGCCACCTCCCGTCCCAAAGCCTTCTTCTGTCTTTCCAGTTCATTTCGAAGCACCAAAATTTTTAATTGCAAGCACTCACTTTGTTTTCTCAGTTCATTGCTTGTAGATGTGAGCCTTAGCTTTTCTTCAATTTCCTTTCCAATTTTCTGAACAGTTACCTGAGTCTGTTTAATTGCACACTGGGCTCTATGAAGCC